GACGAAGCAGCAGCTGGGAAGAAGAAGCTGTTGTGGGAGTCTGTGTGTCAGACAGGGTACTTCTGTGTGTCAGAGTACCAACCTGATAGGTTCAGGTGTCTGTTGGTTAGCCAGAACTGATAGGTTCAGGGTCTGTGCTTCAAGTTAAGGGTTCTGGGTGAACCAAACTGTATGCTTGTATGAGTGAGAATAAGCCACGTTACTTTATCCTATTCACCTGATTGTTTTATTTTCCTGTGTGTGTGTTTTAAATAAACTTATTCCTTTTATTGTTTAAAAATCCATCCCTGGTCTGTGTGACTTCTTACAGGGAATGGTTGGTGGCAGCTTAGTGTAACTGTGTGGCAGATCCCAGTAGGTCTTCACAGGGCAGCAGAGTGGACACAGAGACTTGAGAAATGTTAGGAAGAACAACCTTCAGAACATGGCCAAAGAGCCCGAAAAACCCAGAACAATTATCCAGCCATAATTTTTAAAGCATGTTAATTCCATCTTAAAGCATCTTAAAGCATGTTAATTCCATCTTCACGCTATGCTTTTGAGCTTCTACTTTAATCTGGATGGACACTCTGCTTATTATAATTTTCCATCTTCACGCTATGCTTTTGAGCTTCCAAAGGTATCTGGATGGACACTCTGCTTATTATAATTTATTGTCATTTTCTATCAGAATTTCAAATAAGCATATAGCATCTCTGGGCAGCTTCTTGGCCTACTTTAAATCACTTAAACATACCAAGGTGATGGCTATCTGCCCATTCTTTTGCAGACAGCACAATAGATTTTGTCTTGTTTTTAGTGTACAGTGGGGGGGGGGAGGAAACAGGAGTATGTACCTACTCTGTGTACCTATAGAAAGCACCCATTTTTCTATTCAGCTACAAGGGGAGCCCCTTTAGAAATCTGAATGAAGCTACTTTATAGAAGGAAGCTAACTAAATGAGAGCATATAACTGAGGGTACCTTCAAAGCTAGAGACACCTCTTTCCATCCATCCATCCATCCATCCATCCATCCATCCATCCATCCATCCATCCATCCATCCATCCATCCATCCATCCATAGCCAGCACTATATCACAGGTTCTCAGGCTGGGTTACCAAGCTACTTATAAAATGGAAGATGATCTATCCATCTGAGTATGTTAAAAATCATTGTCATTGTAGTAATTAAGAGTAAAGACACATGAAAATTTCTCAAGAAGGGTGATCACTTATGAACTCTAGCTAATGACCTACCTGAGATACCTTTCGGACAACATCATTGCCCACACCCAGGCCCTGCACAAAGGATCGGACTGCAATGAAGGCCCTTGTGGCTTTAAGCTTCAGGTCTCTTGGAACCTCTCCAAATGGTTTATGCTGTTCCGAATGCTTCAACATGCAGTCCACATACTCATCAGGAAGGTGGTACTGAGGATTCATCAACTTGAAGAGCCGCTCTAGCAGGCGAGTCCAAAATTCAGTGAGGGCCTCTTCTAGGTTGATGTTGGAACCCCGGTAATAACGCCGCAGCTCACTATATAAGTCTTTGAAAAGCTTTATGTTCTGGATGTAAAGGTCTCCATACATACCAGGAAATGTGTCATAAAGGGTCTTCTCTGACTTGTTTAACAAATCTTGGAAATAACCTGCAAAAAAGAAAACAAAAACAAAAGGTCAGGTGAACAAATCCAATGAAAAGTCAAAAATTTCCAGAAATATTTAAAAAAATGTGGCTCACTTTATTTTTGGACTATCCCATTGTACTAGTAACAAATGGCAACTGAAAAGCAGATATCCTACAATATGTATTTCGGGCACTGAAAATGAAGTATTCATCATAAACTGCTCACTTTTTCCTGCTTCTATGAAGATGCAAAAATGAATTCATGCTCCTGTCTGTGAAAGAGTATTTCCAAAAGGCTAGAATCCAAATTACATTTCTACATCAATCCCCTGAATCTGTAAGACTGTGTCCAGTTCTGGGCATCACAGTTTGCAGAGAGTATTGACAAGCTGGAATGTGTCCAAAGGAGAGTGACCAGGAGGGTAAAAGATCTGGAAAACCAACCCGTATGAGGAATGGATGAGGAAACTGAGTATGTTTAGCCTAGAGAAGAAGAGGGAGGCCTGAGAGTCCATCTTCAAAGACTTGAAGGCTTCTCGTATGGAAGGTGGAACAAGCTTATTTACTGTAGCTCCAGAAAGTAGGACCAGAAGTAAAGGATTTAAATTACAAGAAATGAAGTTTTGCCTAAATACTGGGAAGCTCTTCTCCAAAATAAGAGCTGTTCAGCAGTAGAATGGTTTGCCTCACAAGGTGATAAACTCTCCTATACTCAATGTATCTAAATGGTGGTTAGACAGTCACTGTCAGGAAAACTTTAGATGTGAAATTACTGCTTCAGCAGGGGGTTGGACTCAATGAGCCTTGGGATCCCTTCCAATACTATGACTCTATAGCAGTGGTTCCTCCTGGCCAACACAGCTGGTGGTGAAGGCTTCTGGGAATTCCAGTCCAAGAACATCTGGGTTACCCAAGACTGAGAACACTTCTATACTACAGTGGTGCCTCGCATAGCGAGGTTAATCCGTTCCGGATTAACCTTCGCTATAGCGAAACATCGCTAAATGGAATTTAAAAAGCCATAGAAACGCATTGAACTTTGTTCAATGCGTTCCTATGGCTTTAAAACTCACCGTTAAGCGATGTTCCTCCATAGCGCCGCCGTTTTCGCGCCCTCGGTAAGCGAGGGCAGGGCGCGAAAATGTGGTGCGGACCTTCCGGCGGCCATTTTGGAACCACCAATCAACTGTTCTCCCCCGCTTCGTTATGCGATATTCGCTAAGCGAATCACTTAGCGAATATTGCAAAGCGAAAAAACGCCATAGGGGCCATCGCTGAGCGAATGCTCCAGCGATGGCCCAGAGCCCCTCGTTAAGCGATTTCATCACTCAGCGAGGCGCTCGTTAAGCGAGGCAGCACTGTATACTAATCTATGGTAATGCTAGGAAAATCTGAAGATAGTAGGAAAAGAGAAAGATCATATATGAGATTGATTCACTCAATAAAGGAAACCAAAGCCTTGTGCAGAACATTTTAGAGGTAATTAATTCATAGGGTTACCACAACTTGATGGCACTTAACAACAACAGTGCTTCCATTTGTTCTTGTTTAAAGCAAAGCTGGAAACCAGTCACAACTCCAGCCCTTTTCCACTCCCACTCCCCTGACCAAAACAGGCAAGACAGATTTATTCATGTGAAATGTGCTAGTCCCAAACATCATTCATATTAAGGTGGTGGCAAAAGACACCAGCTAAAATTAAATGCAATCACACTTCTCCTGACTATTTAAACTCTCAGGATAATGTATGCAAATCACTGTGTAAATCAGTATGACAAAAGGGTGACAGGATTAAAAGATGCTAAAAGCTTCTTTTCTGTACCATTGCTCCTGACAGGAACTCATGTGCATAAGCTAACAATCCTATTTAAGAGAATATACCAAAAATTAACACATACTGGGAGGGGGTCCCCAAGCAGCTCTTAAAACCTTAATACTTGCTCTCAGTTTTAAAAAGATGTGAAAAAGTGCATGACACCTTGCAAAACATTTGCTTTTAAGAGAAACAGTGCAGCTGACATTAAACTGCTATATTACTGATCTTATAATTAACAAATGAGAGGAAATGTTAATGTCCTCATGGATACTGTCAAAATGTAGGCTAGGGAGGTGTCCCTCCCCCTCATAATACTCAGCAGCAGTGAGTATTAAGGCCAGGACTAACAAGCCATTAAAAGCCCAAAGCAGTACTATTGTTGGAATATATTGACACAAGACTTCAAATATAAAATAAAATAAAAATCTTCAAGAACATAGCCAAATTTCATATGCTCAAATGCTGACTATTGATTGGCAATGTCAGAAAACTGAGCAAAGAACTGTTGATTGATAAAACAGGAGACATGCCTACTCTACTTATTACCAGATGGTTAACAAACATTCCAGCAGGTCTTTAAATGAACTACTTTGAAGAATCTATAATTGTTATGTCGGGTCTGTGGAGTTTTTATGTTTAATCTGTAAACTTCCCAGAACAGTTTGTGCACTAATGGGGCAGTATAAAAATCAAAGGAAGGAAGGAAGGAAGGGAGGAAAGAAAGGAGGGAAGGAAGGAAGGAAGGAAGGAAGGAAGGAAGAAATGATGCCAGTGTGATATAATGGATAAAGTGATGAACTCAGAAGACCTTGTTCAAATCCTTGTTGAGTGTGGAAACGCATGATGGTGGTGGGCACTAGTAAAACCACTCCTTAAATATCTCAAATTGCTTGAAAACCCTATTAAGGTTGCTCTAAGTTGGATATGTCTTGATGACACATAATATACTTATATGCAAGTATATAAATGAAGTCATTTTTCTATAGAAACTTGAAAGCAACCACATTGTAAACCATTTTGTGCAGAGGCACCTGGTTACCGCAAAATATTCTAACTCTGCTGCATAAGTCACTCATACCTATCCTATATTCACTACTGTACTACACTTTGAGCTTTTTTGTTTGTTTGGCAAAAACTAAGAACCACCTTGAATGAAAAAAAAACCCCTGACAAAATCTTTATGTTGCTAAAGCTGCTTCAACTAATTAAAAGGCTGGTATACGAGGGATAACATAAGAGATAAGATGGTGAGAAATATGTAAGGATAATAAGGCCACATTTAGCTATATTATCCTCATATATATTTCATCTTGAAAACATACACACATAAATCACGTTTGTTTATTAACCAAGGGAATGAATGAGCTACAGTCTAAGACTTGTGTGTGTTCTGTGCTATTAAGTCAGAACCAACTTTTAGTGATATATATTTCATCTTGAAAACATACACACATAAATCACGTTTGTTTATTAACCAAGGGAATGAATGAGCTACATACAGTCTAAGACTTGTGTGTGTTCTGTGCTATTAAGTCAGAACCAACTTATAGTGATCTTAATAGCTCTTTCAAGGTATTTGAGATAGGTTTACAAGTCCCACTCCCCCCAGTGAGTTTCCATGGCCAGTGAGGATTCAAACTTTTTTCTCCTGAGTCCTAGTCCATCACTCTGTACATTACACTACACTGGGCATGTCTAAGATTTATCACACATTAAAAGATTGTTTCACACATGAGAAAAATGACTTAGTGCAACAGAGGTACTGTTTTTACTAAAAAGTACTAGTATTTGTCAAGTAGTAAAAAGGACCATGTCTGGTGTTTCATTTATGATGGGTTTTCACATGCACAAGTCATCACTTGATACTGCAGTCAACAGGTCCGCTGACACCACCAACATTTTTTCACCATAAAATACAAAATGTGCAGGATATACAGATTCTAAATAGGGCTGAGTTGACCTGCATACAATTTTGCTTCAGAATGAATTCAGAGTAGCCACATTAACTTTTAAGACATCCTCTGGAATCCAGAACCTCAATCTAGACAGAATTTGGATCAGCTTTTTCAAATGACTTCCCCACCAGAGGGCAAGGCCTAGCAGCCCTTGTCACAGCATTCCAGCCATCCATGGAGCCCCCCCTGAAACCCCTATTCCATGACACCACTTTCTGAATGCAGGGAGTGAATCAATAGCAAGGAGAGCTCCATATAAATTGAGGTAGAGATTGATGCCTAAAAGCTTTGGATCATGTGTCCAGAGATTCTTGGAACAAGAGGAATGCAAAGTGTGTTACGAGAACAGCCATGAAATAGTCGTTTGTGTTGTGTAATTATTGCAATATGGACTAATGTCTCAAGATCCTGTGTGTCCTATGCTATGCCAGGGGACAAAGAAATCAAAAAGAATTCACTATAGGCCAAACCACACACTGTATTGCCTGCAGTCTAGTTCAATAAGACCTACCAGGACAACCCTATCATGAAAAATAGTGGTGAATGTTCTCAAAGGACTTTGCATAAATTTGTCTAATCCAGTAATAATCTTGTAATACAAGTCTGGATTACTCTTTGTATTTTTCAAAATGTGAGGCTACCAGAGTTATGAAATCTCTTGTTATTAAGTATTTATTCAAATACTCATATTTTAAAACAAGAAACATCTAAACTGCTACAAAAAGCATTAAGCCAGGAGGAGGCAAGTTCTGCCTGAAGATGCTAGATAAGGAAGGCCTTGTTGCAAAGCATATGATTTCACTGAGAATACTGGCACTCCTTAAAATTCTATTTATTCTATTTACAACAGAATAAACACAGCTACAGACTAAACATATGCATAATTAAATGCTGATTTCCAGTTGTCACCGAAGAGCAAGCTTTAGACTGCAAATTCAGGTACAGTATCAGTCCAATATATATTTTTTAAATTTATCCGGAGGGTCAATTTTCAACATGCATATGTTAATTTCTAGAGTCCTATCTGCCCTCAAGCGATCTTCAGAAGACTATGAACATTTCAAAGTTTACAGTGTTTTCCTGCTGCCTGCTAATGGACTACTTTTTCTGCTCAAAGGCACTATTTATTTGCATCAGCTCAAGCAGATGTAAATGGTATGCTGCAAATTTTATATGCTTTTTAATAGAGCAAGCAATATGTAACTGATTGTTGCATTTGATTAATATCACTGATCCCCATGGTTTTGTTGG